ATAAAGGCGCTATGTGCCGCATATAGTCTTGCCATCATGCCACGGGCCGCCTCATGGTCTTTCTTGCCAAGCCGGGGGCCACCCCCTGGGCTTACAGACAAGTGCGGAGATCGACCTCTTGGTCTTTCATGCAAGCATCACAAAGACAACTAGCATACATACTATTCTACTTAGCTATTTAGCATACAGTGTGCCAGGAGCCACCTCCTGGTCTTTCATACATACTGCCCTAGGGCTAACCCCCGGGTCTTGCTACTATACATAAACCAAATGGATCGACATTGGTGCCTTCGACCCATACAAACAGTGAGGAGACTCACCTCGTATGCTGAAACTCCCTGCAAGAATTCCTTAGCCGCTGCCCTGATAACTCCTCGAGCTATCAATACCAAAATATCACCCAATTAGCAATTGGGTCCCAAACCATGATCCATAATCCATACTTGGGGGTAAATTGACCATTTGACCCCTGGCCCAACAAGATTCATAACTAAGTCCCAAGCCCAAAATGACAAGGCCCAAAACTGTAAAATCCATAAAAGCCCACTAATGGCCCAATTTTCCAAATTGGGCATAGGCCCAATTTGGAAAATTGGGCCATTAGTGGGCTTTTACCCTTTAAGCCCAAACATATTCTAAGCCCAAAAATATCTGATTTCTGATGGTACACCAAGGCCCAAAGTAAAGAAGTCCAAGGAATGGCCCAAACCGATGCCCACATGAGCGAAGCCCACTCTGACTGAGTACGCACGACATACTCAGCTGTACGCAACGCGTACAGGGTTTGTGACCTGTACGCTGCGCGTACCAGTTTGTACGCCCAACATACTATTCTGTTAAGCCCTTTTTGCTATTAAGCACTTAATGCTTCAAACAAACGGTCCATATCACAGATCTGAGCCCTACTTAACGTCTAAGCCCATAAAGTCACTGACTTTGGTGACTTTTCATGCCCTAAATAAGCCCAAACTCCAAAAATGGCATTCTACTTCCATGAAAATGGCCTTATCTCATGCATGAACACATCAAGACCTTCAAGATGGCAACTTTCCGTCTTAGGGACTTAAATAGCACCAAGGGTGGCAACCCTAAGCCTAGGAAACAGATTTGAACCATAAAGCTTCATCCTTGGGACCAAAAAGGTCCAAAACCCCAACACAAGAGATCTAAGGAAATAACCACCAAGTTTAAGACTTTATACCTCAAATGAGAGTCAAAAGCTGATGAGGTTCTGGATCTAAAAGCTCTATCTTCTTCAATGAATCTTCAAGAGTGAACACCTTCTTCAAAAGCACTAAAATACTCTTCTAATGGCCTTTTAAGCTCCAAGAACACACAAGGAGCGATTAGGGCTTCGTGAAAGTTGTCTAAGGGTAAGAGGGTGGTTGATCTTTAAGGACATAATGTTCTTTATATAGTGCTCATCCCTAAAATTAGGGTTTTGGTCTGAAGGGAGTACGCCCCGCGTACCTCTTGGTACACCCGGTGTACTCACAAACCACCCGCGACCAGATGACCTTATATGCTGGGCGTAACCCAGCTTATGCTGGGCGTACCCAGCCAAACACATGCATGCATTCCTTGCATGCATGGGACTGCCTTGCCACTTATCTCCATTAGGGACCAAAATTGTCAATAACTTCAAAGTGCCATAACTTCCTCATCCGAGGTCCGTTTCCAACAAACCTTATATCCACGAAAAGGTGGCGAGAAGCCCTACGCTCCTAATAACTCGCCCAATCCTTAAACCTTCCTGGATTAAAACCAACATCCATAAAAGGCCGAGGTACCCAATTACAATTATACCCTTGGCCTCCGAAGACACAATTGTACGCTCGAATAACTTATACTATAACACCCACCTCCGAACTGGGCCAAATCCTTCCTTTCCCAAGGCCCTAAACCTCATGACAAATGATAATTGGGTCGTAGCCCCAAGCAACGAAACACTTCCAAAAACCGGGTCTTACAGGGTTGTTCCAATACTTAAATCTCCATTAAGTACTCACGAGTGTTAGCACAATCTCCATGTTATGGGCAATCTACTAAAGCTCCATGAATGTCTTCGATCGGTACTTACTTCCATGAGTATGACTAACCGTGGAGATTTGAATAAATTAATACTCACGAAGTAGGTTCCAAACATGTAAAAGGAGAACACGGTAATAAGCTAATTGAAATGGCTGATCTCTATCATATATTAAGATCTCTACTTAATAATCGCCAAACCAGATTAAGACTTATACTACTTAAGTTTTTAAATTTAAAACAAACTAAACTAAGTGTACTTAAGCCAATTCATTTGCAAATCTAATGCCTTTTGACTTTTTCTGACTGTCAGACTTGATCAGTGACATTGGCTTAGGGAATGGACCGGCAAGGATATATTCCAGAATGACTTTATTGACTATGATATCTTCACATTCGAACAACTATCAAATGTGATGGTACTTACTGAGTATGTGTCATGTGATCTTGCATGACTTTGGATCTATAATGAATATAAATTTACCCTTATAGTCACAAGAACCTTCACAAGGACCATCAATGATTGTATTTCAATAATGATGTCACTAATGAATCTATATTAGTCACATAATTTTCCTTTTCCTTATAACTAGCTGCAATATACTCTAACTAGTGAATCTATATTAGTCATATAATATATTCTTAATCCGTCTTCATCTAACAACTTGAGGGAATTCACTTAGTGCCTCAAGGTTCTCTCTCTCTCTCTCTCTCTCTCTCTCTCTTTCACACACACATACAAACACACACACACACACATATATATATATATATAAATATATATAAACATAACAACACACACACACACCCATATATATATATATATATATATCTATATATATATATATATATATATATATAGAGTGTGTGTGTGTGTGTGTGTGAGTGAGTGATTAATCCAATCATTTCAACCAAACTACATATTTCACCAAACGTGGAGAACTCATACCTTAGTGTGGAGAGAATGAAAATCCTAACAATCCACCATCTCTAACTTTTTTTTGGCCTGGATTTGTCCCTAAAATCGCCACCTTTGAGCTCCCAATCGATCCTCCCTTCAAAATGATTGAAATGAGCTCTTAACATGTTATAACCTGTGTTATAGCCTCGAAACCACGACGTGGTGGGGTCTCTACCACATCATGGTGACCATTTGACTTCGGTTAATGGAAGCCAACTTACGTCACCGCGCCGCAGTACCTGAAGATCAGTAAAGTGCATTGTTGATTCCATTCCAGCTATGGGGACAACTTTTTCTCCAACTTCTAATGCACATAACTTCTTCGTTTATAACCCGTTTTCTATGATCTTTATATCCACAAGAAGGTGGGAACATACTCTAAAACTTTGTTAAGTCATTTCTCACCGAATTAATACGAGTATTAATCTATTAAGTCGCAAACTTGCCCCAAAAAGCATAAAATACCCATTTTACCTTTTTGGCCAAAATGTCTCTTCTCATGCATTCTCTTTCTTGGCCTTACTCATCTAATCTCTTCAATGTGACTTAAGCTTATATTGGCCATTTTCATGAAGTCACAACTTCATAAACTCACTAAATTCCTCTAAATGATAATTTTTCCCTTTTGGTTAATATTTGACTAAAAGTCAAATTTCTATAAATTTCAGGTTCTTATAGGTAATGATCAAGAGAGATTAAAAGAAATAGGAGCAAAGTATGATGCCTATATGCGGTTTTTTTGTGATGGTGCAAATGACACACGAGCGTGTGGACTTCACAGGCTGATGAGTTAGCTGATCATTGCAACCCTTCTCTAGCAGATATAAAAGACATACACAAACAACATCTTCGTCCAATAACCGATGAAGTGGTCTATCAAACACACCAATGTCATCTTTTAATTTCACGGAGCCACTCTTCTTAATCATAGGAAAGACACGTGATCAGAAGGCGAGACCGGAATCTGAGGCACCAAAATTTTCACCAAACTGGATGCCGGTAACAAGTCAAAATTCTCTCTTCCCAAACATCAGCTCGTACTCCTCTATCTTAAAAAACCATTTCATCTACTTCGCTTCGAGGGACAGTCACAACTTTTTTGAAAGATTCGTAATGTAAAAGTAAATGACCCCTCCTCCACTCCGACAAGAATATCTAACCACCTACCAAAACATATCTTTCGGAACATTGACTCGTGTGGCGGTCGGCCCCTAAGCCTCGCAAGAATATCCGCAACAATGATGAGTTTGCAAGATAGTGTACTATAAGCATAAAAACCTTGTCATGTTGTAAAAAAACCAAAAAAAAAAAAATACTTTTAAGCTAATCAAGGAGTGTAAAGGATGCTCTGAAACTAAAATCGATGAGCATTCCATAATTGTTTTGCGTATTCTAGACTGAATTGCTTCTTCGCATTCCAGACATGTTCCAGATCGCTTTTGTGTGTGTCAGAATACTAAATTTTGATGTACAATAACTTATTCACTAACTAAACTAGTTTTGCGTTGGTCCTAACACTAAATAACATTTCTACAACATTGTTCGGAACGTGTTCTTCGTGTTCCGTACAAGTTCTTTGTGTTTCGGAGTAACTATTTTACACTAATAATCTTAAAATTAAACAACTACAAGTGAATGAATGAAGAACACCCGTAAACCTTCCAAGTATTCGGAATCACATATCATATCTTCTTTGTCTTTTTAGTCCGAAAAGTATAGATATTCCATAATAGAATCCAAAATATGATTTTGTAAAAAACTCTTGGGGGACCGAAATGGTGTCTTGAATGACCCATTCGAAAGAAGATAGTTATTTTGCAAAAAAATAAAATAAAATTGATTATTTTGTATAAAAACCAATAAAAAATAGTTAGTTTTACTTAATTTGTTTTATTATTAATAAAATTCAAAATACATCATTATAATAATTTTTTTAGATGAAATGCGATTAGTACAATTGATGATGTTATTATTGCTTAAATGGAAAACATCGAGTGTATCGATATCTTGGCCAATGCGAATTTGCAAATGGAGGTGACGAGGGGTTTTTTCCTTTGGGGCAAAGAATGATGATTAGCACCGGTTCATTCCTCACAATCAAATTCCCATCTTCTCTTCAAACAACTCCCAAATATCATCCACGATATCTTCCCCAATTTACAGTGTTAGCGTCCTCAACACCGCCGATTTCCATGGCAACTGCCGGCGCCGGGGAATCCACTTCACGGACTACTACCACCATCCAATCCGCTGTTCCGAATTCTTCTATTACACTATTGTTTGTTGAAATGGGAGTTGGTTACGATCAGCATGGGTCAGTCAAGTCAATCTCTCTGATACACAAAGTACTAACATATAATATTCAATGTAGAGTAATTTTAGAAATTGGGGATTTCCTTAATCATACGAAATTGAAACAGGCAAGATGTCACGAAAGCAGCAATGAAGGCTTGTAGGGACGCTATCTCTTCCAATTCAATTCCTGCCTTCCGTAGAGGTACTGATTGCGTGCATATGTGTCTTTCATCCCCTCATCTTGTTATTAGACTTTCGTTACATTTTGTGTGCATTATCATCATTTAGACATTTGACAGATAATCAATCAGTTTATTTAGACTTTTCGCCAATCAAATGATGCAGAGGATCAATAATACGACTAATTTGAGCATTCAAGTGAACTTATCTTTCTTTTAGTTTCATAGAATATCTTGCTATGTTGATAAATGAATTTCTCAAACTTGTCTTGTATTGGAAGCACTTTCTCTTTCTCAAAATCTGGTAGGGATAAAATGAAATACCAGCCCCTACCATGACAGATACTACACGGATAAATGATTTGAAGTGACCCATGTGTCTTAAATTAATTGCACATTTCAATTTGGTCCCAACAATAATGGATACAATTGCTGTTCCTTTAACCTTCTTTAAAATAACATCTTCAACCTATGAAATTAAACAAATAAAGGCTTTTGAATGAGTCATTCACAACCAGAATTGATGATTGTGAGAAAACCCTTTTGATAAAAGACAACAGAGTTCTCATTTACCCTCTAGTAAAGAAGTTTACAATTCTTGCAAATTCAGTATCCTGAGACATTTCTTTACCTAACAATATATCAACAGTGTCTTATGATTTACAATTCAAAGTGGCAAAAGGATCTTTTAGTCTTTTTAGCCTTGTAGAAAATTGATTGCTAGCAACTACTTATGGGGGTAGTCTCTTTCAAAATAAGTTGGCATTGTTAATTATGTTGCTTACATTTTGAAGATTACAGTGTCCTTATTTATGTGATGTAAACTTGCATGTGCTATGTATATCCTATTTCAAGAGTATCACTGTCATATTCTTTAAACATATCGTTGTTCATCAGGTTCAATAGTAGTTAACTTCAATTGATTCATTACTATTTATATGATGCTTATATTATCCTAATGTGATAGTTACCTTATGTTCATCTTCTTTAGATTAAGAAGCTTATTCAATATTAATATAGCCACAACTTTTGAAATAATACAATTTGAATAATGAAATTGAGTAAGATTAGAAATTAAAGTTAAAGGTCCACTGGAAGTATCATGAAGAATCTTTTATATTCTACATTATGATCTACAAGTTGAATTGATAAAAGGTTATTTTAGTCTTTTTGGCCTTGTGGAAACTTGATTGCTAGCAACTACTTGTAAAGAAAGTCTTTTTCAAAATAAATTGGCATGCATAGCATAAGTATAGTGCTTACATTTTGAAATTTGTCATTATTTATGTGATGTAAACTTGCATGTGATATGTAAATCCTATTTCTGGAGTATCACTTTCATATTCTTGAAACAAGTCACTGTTCATCAGATTCAATAGTAGTTATTAGTTAATCATTCATTTGATTTGTTACTTGTGATATGATATGCTTATTTCATCTTGATGTGATAGTTAACTACTTAACTTGTCTTCATCTTATTATGTACATTTATAAGTTAAGTCAATATTACCCTTGGCATGATTTTTGGGGTGCTTGAAAGTTTAGTGTATGAATGTGGGTAAATGACAATTTTACCCTTCTTTTCTTGAATCAGTTAGTGAAATTTTCTATGTGAGAAACTGTGAGTGTGTGTGAATTCATTACATATATATGAGAATCCATAATTCGAATTAGATTGTGTGAATTCATTACACATATAAAATTACTATTTTGCCCTTATCTTTAATTTCTTTATTAATTCTTATGTCTGTAAGGGATCGAAACTGAAAGTGAAAACTACAAAAGGGACGAAATATGTAGTTTTTGCTTAAATACTGGGACGAAATTTGTAGGTTACCCTAAAAAGTATTAAGTTTAAAATATGTATCATATTTTAATATACAATATAATAGTGGTAGTAATTCATATTAGTATATTACATTTACAGTATCTTTATACAATAAATGAACTAAATATACATAACATTAAAACTTGAAGGACCAAATTGTTAAAAAAAAGTTCTTACCAAATAAGGTGCAAATGATTATTTTTGATCCTCGAGTATATTTGATTTTAGCAATTTTGGTCCCAAATTGTTAAAAAAAAAAGTTCATACCATTTACTTGAAACAAGGACCAGAAACGTTACAAAAACCTCAGATAAGGACTAAAGTTGCAACAAAAAACTATTTGGGGACCAAAAATGTAATTTACTCTTAGTGTTTTAAAGCATTATAATAACATTGGATCCGTGGGGCTATTGTTGCAGGGTCCATACCCGGTGTTTCATTTGACCGAATGAAATTACAGATAAAACTGGGAGTTCCTCAATCTCTTCAATCCAGCTTGGATATTGAGAAAGTCAAATCTGTTTTCCCCTAGTAAATCTCTTATCTTTATATTTGGTTTATTAGGATATTATAAACCACATATTAATAAAAAATAAAAAGCTGTTTTTGTTTTTGTTTTTGGTTTGAATTTTGAATTTTGATTTGTTAGTGGGAAAATTGAGAATGTTGAAGTAGTGGATGGTGGATTGATATGCTCAAGTGGTGTCCACGTTGAAGAAATGGGAGACAAGGATGATAATTGTTACATAGTTAATGCAGCTGTTTATGTTGGTTATTGAGCTCAGTTTTTTTTTTTTTTTCTTCTTAGTTTCTCCAAAATAACTTGTTTTTATAGATTATAATTTTTTTTTTTCTTGTAGTAAAGATGGTCTGTTTGTAATAAATAAACAAATATGGTGGTTAAAAAGTCAATGGCTTATTATTGACTTATATGGTAGTGACTTTAGTGTCACTTGACCATTGCTAAAAGGGAGTCGAACTGTGATCTAATTAATACATGTTAGGTGGTGCGAAGTGTGTTAGGATTTAAGCACTTCAACAAATGAATGATTCAACAATTTCACACACAGTAATGATGCAGATCAAAAAAAAAAAAAAAAAAAACAAAAACAAAAAAAAACAAAGAACACAATATTCAACAATTTCACTCACTAGCCAATCTTTTGTGCGAGTTTACAGTTAGAGTGGGTCGATTTCACATGGAAAACATAAACCAAATCATATGTATTTTGTTAATAAAAATTAAAAACCGCACTACCTTTTTTAGTAATAGTTTGGCTATATCTGTAAAATTCGGTTTCGATTCGGGTTTTTGGTTATTATTGCTAACTTCTACGTTGCGATGGTCCCATTGAAAAACATGATCTGAAGAACGGGGCAAAGGAATATTGGAAGATTTTGGGACAACTAAAGCTGCTAGTAGCCCAAAGTGCTCACAACCCAAGGTGGTTGGATAGCCATGTTTCTAACAGCCCAAGCTGCTCAGAAAGTGCTCTTAAACGGCTAGAAAACAATTATTTTATAATCTTATCCACTTTTCAAATAGAATAAATATATATTTGGAACTCTTCCTATGATCCGGAACATTCGTACACAACTCTCCTACGATGCTAGAAAATCATTATTATTATTTTTTTTATTATTAACAAAATCTGTAACTCGTTGCAGGTTGGATTTATTTTAGTTTACAACCTAAAGACTACAAAATATCTAAGAACTATGTATCCTCAATTTTCAGCCGACTAAGTGAAAAAATAACATAATTTCGTTGAAAAGTTCATCTAATTATAGAAATGTTATACAATGCTTTTTTATTGCTATAATTAGGTAGAAACTTAAAACTTAATTGCCTATAGCAATGTTATACAATACAATGCTTTTTATCGCTATAATTAAGCATAAACTTAAAACCTAATGTCATATGAATGTAATATATCTGGTTTTCAGTTTCAAGTTACCATGTAATCAAATTTGCGTAAAAAACCTTTAGGCTTACAAATCTATTGTGTTAGCGTAAATATATTTTTTTATATTATATGTATTCATATAAAAAACATATTTATACATAATTTTTTTAACTAATCATTGTATGAATATGCTTTTTAGGAGTATAAATACATATTTTTATGTATAAATACATATTTATACTTCTATATAAGTGTAAGTACTACGTATAAATACATATTTATACTTCTATACATCTAAAAACATAAAAGTACATATTTATAATTCTAAATAAGTATAAACAAGTATTTATATTTCTGAAAATGTAACTATACTTTAAAAAACTTAAAAAGTATGTATTTATTGTCACACCCCCAAACCTGAACGGCGGAAACGTTCGGGGGCGGATGACGTCATCTACAATATCATAACAATTGAATAGTAAAGAAAGTACACACCACCATAATATAAATATATTTGAAAAGTTTACATGATTGTATGTGTTACATGTTTGAATATCAAATACAATATGGTGATTCAAAATATGTTATTAACGCCAGCGCGTTAGTCTTCAAAAGTAGTTGCTACCTGATTTAGCGTTTTCCTGAGAATACAAGTTATTTTAAAAAAAAAAAGTGTCAACAATAAAGTTGGCGAGTTCATAAGTAGTGTTTTGAGAAAATGTATGCCATTCGAAAGTTCGTGTATGTTTTCCAGAAAATCCGATATTTTCTTATGAGTGTATGAAATGAGTATGAATGATTGTTGTATAAATTGTATGTATTTGAACCAAAAAAATCCTATATTTTCTTAAAAGTGAAATGCAGTCTCAAATGTCCAAGACCGTAACCTGTAAGCAAATATGACATGCTCAAAAGATGATGTATAGTCTTATTGTAAAACAAAACTATAAGAAGATTTGTATTTGAATGTGAAAAGAACTGTATCTGTTACTTTTCCCGTAAAAACGTAATACCATAATAATTGTCTATCGAGTGAGTTTTTATAACCGTACTATCATAATTTGCTTGTAGCGACGTTCTTCAGGCGTCGAAATGAGATGACACTTGTCACCCCGGGGACTATAGCTAACAGTCAGGGCGCGGGATCATTAGTCCCGTATAGATCTATACACACTTGTCACGTTCTCCGGACGGGAGATTCTGGTTATAAACAGGACTTCTAGTGGTACCTTAAAAGGTATATTGAAGATGAATGCCTCACGAATTCTCAATTAAGTCTCGTATTAAAATGTATATGTTTGTTTCTGAAATGATTATCCTTTTTCATAATGATAATAAAGGCATAAAAATGATTTTTATGTTCTTGTATGCATAAAGATGTCATAACGAAAGTGGTTACCCTTGATATGATGCAAACGTATAAATAGAGCTTATGATATTTATACTCATGTTTCATCCCGTGAGGGTAAAGTAGAGTAAGATGTTTTGTATGTTAAACACTTCCATTTGATAGTTAAAATAACTGTATGCAAAGTATAGCAAAATATTCCATAATTTCACTCGGGAATAACAGGGTGTTTACTTGTATTCTCCCCCGTAATGTGTTCAAAAGCATTTAAAAGCATAGAAATGGGGGTATGAACTCACCTGATAGAAGTGGTGAGTTGAAGAAGGCGAGACTAAACTCGGGCAGTACTTCGACTGGAAAGAAGCAAGTTCCTCGGGAACTTCGGGACTTCGAGACTTGCGTCGTGTGCTAGGGTTGTTATCGGGGCTTCGGGGTGGTCTCAGGATGCTTAACACAGAGTAGAAGTGGGAGAGAGGATAGGAATGAGCAGCCAAAACTCGGAAGGCTTCAATTTCTATATATAGGCTAAAAATCGAAGTTCACGTTGTGAGTTTTGCCAATTCACGTCGTAAGTTTGTCCCGATTCGCTCATGGCATGCGTCATCTGTCAAGTGGCTCTGAAATGGCCAGTCAGTCTGTTCACGTCGTGAACTTTAGTGTTCACGTCGCGAACTCTGAAAATTCTGACACAGCATCGAAACTCGTGCCTCGAACTTCAGAAATTCATATCTTTCGCATACGAGCTCCGTTTTCGATGTTCTTTATATCCACGCGTAGGTGAGATTATGTTCTACAACTATCGTTTAGACTTCGTTGGCTAATTTTGAGTTTAATTTTAATATTACTTTTTTAACAGGCCGGGACAGGAAAAGTCTGTTAAAAATCCATAACTTCTTCATCCGATGTCCGTTTTCGTCAGACGTTTTACCGTTGAAATACCATTGATGAGATCTTCGATTCTCGTTTAGGTCATGTTGGCAAAAAGTCGCTCGATCTCGATTTCGAGTTTTTAGCTGTCTACTGCTATGTCCGAAACTTCGAAAAATCATAACTTCCTCATAGAAGTCAGATTTGGGCGTTCTTTTTATGTATGTTTACGGTTTTGGGATATCTACAACTTTCATTTAGATACCTAATATTGAAAAGTATTTTATTGAAATTTCGTATTTTACCCTTAACAGTATTTTACCGGTTTTGTTGCGGATCTTCGATTGGTCATAACTTCTTCGTTAAAATCCGGATTTCAGTGTTCTTTATATTCTTGGAAACCTATTTACGATCTCTACCAATTTATTTATCCCAGTTAAGGTTATTGAACAATTTATTTTTGACCTAAATTTGACTGGTGTTACATTATCCCCCGTTAGAGGGAATTTCGTCCCGAAATTCGCATTTGAATGGGACATCGAAGTTTGAGGAAAGGTGAGCGTACTTCTGTTCCATTTGAATCTTCTTGTTCTCTACTGAATCCAACTCTTAGCGTGGGTGTTCCATCGGATCTTCATTATCCTGTCTATTGTTTTGATCGGTAGAGGTCGTGTGGATTTGGGTTTAATTGTCTATGTTCATCTAAATGTTAGTATTGATTACTCGTAATACAGTTCATCTTTGTCTTGAATTTCATGGCTGAATTCATACCTGGTCCGTCTATCATCGCCTTGTGTATGCAAGTGGCATACACACTTTGTAGTGATACGTTAACCGTATTTATTCCTAGCCTCTGCGTTTCAACTTGACTCACTGTACGTGTGCTTATTCCTAAGTGGTCTGTCGGGAATACTTCGAGTAGGTTGTAAAGGAGATAGTACTCCTCACATGAGTGCTACGGAATTTTGAAATGGGAGACGATTTGGAAGTTGTGTCGGGTTTGTCGTTATAGATTAAAAGAGTTTCATTAGTCGGTGGTCAACGCAAAGGGTCTTTTCATAGCACATGCAATTGGTATGGTGAAGACCAAGCCAATCCATTTCTAGTAGCTATTTGGGAACTTCTTATCGTATCAATAGTGAAGTCGATCAGTAAAAGTGTTCGTTAGTGGGATAGTGCATTCTACATATGTGTTTTTAGTGCTTTTAGTCTATCTTTGTTATTACTACTATAAAGGTTTTGCTTAATGATTGGGGTGTTTGTTTGAGTAGATTTTTTAAAACTACGGCTCACGAAACTCCTCTCCGCTCCACTGTCAATCAAAATGCATGCATATGAGTTATCGAGGAGAAACGTACCCGTAACAAATAGTGGGATCTGTAACGGCTCCCTCTTGGCCCATTGCGAATACTCGGCCTCTCCCGCCAGCATTCCTGTCGTTTGCCTTCGGGCAGTCCCTTCGGAAATGTCCTGTAGCTCCGCACTCGAAGCATGTGCGGCCTACCCCGACATTCGCGGCTGGAGCGGTTTGTTGGGTTGGTTCCCTGCAGTAGCGAACGGTGTGTCCCTTACTGTTGCACCTAGTGCAATGCATTTCACGGCAGGGTCCGTGATGATGAAAGTTGCATCGGTTACACTTAGGCTGGTTGCCGTTGTACGGCTTTGTGGGTGTGGGGGTGGTAGGAACAGTAACAGCGTGAGCTGTCACTACCTGTTGTCTTTTGGTAGACCCTTGTTTTGAACTGCCCCATTTTTCATTCTCGAACCTTCGTTTCGTGTTACTAGGTTTATGGTTTGGAG